GTACGATCTGCCCGTCCAAGGTGGGCAGATCGTACTGGCTTTCAAGAGGCATACGACCATCGCAAGACAAAAGTCTTGCGATGGTTGTAAGGTGTATAGGCACCTTTACTTGATACCAAAATAACAGTATTGTTGCATCCCTACTGGCATTCATGGAAGTTACGTCATCCTGGCCAGTCAAGATCTTGGGACAGGATTTCTGTTGGTCTGGTTTTTTAATAAAAAATGGGCATCCTCACAGTGCATGCAGACCCCCTTCTTCCCCTTCAAGTTGTTTAAAAGGGGACTAATTCAAAGCTTTCATGTATTAGGTATAGGAATTTTTAAAGGAAGGATACCACCAGAAAAGTGTTGCAAATGCTGTATTGCATCACCCCCACTATCTTTTGCAGTTTTTTAAATAGTGTAGAATAGTTATATAAATAGTTTTGGTGAACAAAAGCTGAAGGATGCAGGGAGATGTAGTATGCATCTATGCTCAAAACCTGTAGCTGTGCCATACACATTGGTACATAAGTACATAAATCTTTTTCCACCTGTCTCCTATAAGTCCTGAATCAACTTGCCTCCCGGAGACACACAAAGGAACAGCGTGGGGCATGCACTACTGATAACTATCCCTAGGTGGCAGCAAAACACAATGGACAATTCTCACAGGCGATCTATGACCAGACAACTACAACAAACCGATCGATGCTCTGATGTATTTAGAAGCTGTTAGGTCTGCATTTGTGGGAAAGCAAGGAATAGGCTCGGGCCTAGAGCACCAACATTTTAGAGGATCATGAAATGACTCTTGTTACACCTTTGCTCTATTTTTATTTTATCCTCCCGAAAACAAACATTTTTTATAAAATAAAATTATCCAATCTGTGCAGCCATAAATATCTGTGGTCTTAGGGATGGCACAGTAAAGGTGACCCAGAGGCTATATAATTGTACAATGCATGATTTTACCTTTACAGGGAAAAATAACAGGCAGAAAGGAAATTCATATCTTCTACTCCTCGACCATGATTTTACAAAACGATATGAAAAAGCATTTGAACTCACTTTTAAGACACAAAGAGACTCTATGGCAATAAAAGAAAAGAATTTGCACAAATGCAAATGTTTTTTTTAAGTTGCCAATAGAGAGTAGAATACCTCCCAAATTTCTGAGATGGGAAAGAGGGACACTTTATAGCATGAAGTATGTAGGCAGAGGACACACCTCTGTTACACCTCCGGTAACATGGGCCATGAGGATTAATGCACAAAGGAATGATTGGTTTTAATCACAAAATTTCTTTTTTAATCACTACATTATTTTAGCTATTCAAGATAACAAATCGAATATTTTAAGAGTTACATAAAAGTTTTAGTGTGACAAAGCTCATTTTATTGATGTTATATTTTTTTAAGAGATCTATACATAAGAAGAAAAAGAGGGATTTGGCAGCATCTGTTGACCAACTATAGAGAGAGGTGTCTTTCTGACGTCACACGCTCAAGAATAGACAAGTCTTTACTGTTGCCGGCCGGGTGCTGCAATTTTTAGCTGTGAGTTACTTATTATCGTATTCAAATAACATTTTTAATACTGCACCATGAGGTTACCTTTTTAATATGATGGAATATTGGTAATGAGCGTGGTGGAAGGAGCAAATTACGTAGGAGGAGGACGCTGACGCTTTCCTTGATTTTCCTAAAAACGCTTCCTTGGCTGTTATTAACAGTCAGACATTCTGGTGAGTGCCTAGTCACTGGGGAGTGTCTTTTGATTGCACGTATTGGAACACTGATTTGTTTGAGATTTAATTTGTTGCATTTGCACTTTATTGGACTTGGAGAAAGTTTTTTCTTTTTCACTTTTTTTCACGTAAAAAAGTCGTTCATATTTTCACCAATAAGGATTGGACTTTTGCTGTGGACTGATTGTTTGGATATTAACGTTTGGATTTATTATCTTTTACACACTTCACTGGTTCACAATAATTTATGTTTTGATTTGTTATAATACGGGATGTTATAGTTTTACACAATATTTTATTTACTTGTGGGGAATTTTTATATATTGCATATGCACATCATTGGAAGGTTTTTAGCGCTGTACAGTTTATTAAGTAAGGATACACTCTGATGGGAACAACTAATCATTAGTTGTCCCCATTAGAATTCCCCCTTACATTAAATGTCCCTATCAGAGTGCCCCTTACATTACTGGCCCCTATTAATTAAGTTACTAATACACTCTGATGGGGGACAACTAACATAATGGGACAATCTGATGGGGACAAATAATGTAAGGGAGCTGTGACGGACTGAACCGTCACTGGGATATATATATATATATATATATTTTCTTATATTGCATATGCACATCATTGGATGGTTTTTAGAGCTGTACAGTTTATTAAGGATTGATTGAGGCAATAGCATTTGTGTAGCAGCTTTTAACCTCGATTGACTGCCATTAGCGCAGATTAATTGACTACCATATTTTTTGAGTTTTGCCAAAGCTTACAAAACTCTGGGAAATTACGCACATATACTTTTAGCAGTTGGAGTTCTTTAGGTAAGCAGAGGTCGGGGGCCAAGCCACCAAACATTTGACTGCCGAGACCCTGATAGGCTCCTAGAAGTCCAAAAATATTTATGAGCCGAGGGGTAAAAAATCAGTATCATATAAAGGATGGGGTTACTCCACTTGCTACTAAATGAATTCATATTTTGCTTCTCATATTATTTCCAGGATCTGCAGGTAATATGAGAAAGAAAACCTATGTCAGACCTGTTTATCTTACAGTTATTATTGTTGCCTTTAGACTCTTTACATCCCAAGGGTATTTGAGGTGCTATTATTATAACTGGTGATAAAGATGTACGCAAACACAATTAAATATACAATCCTTTTATAAAATGATTGGAACTATCATCACATCCCTGTTTACTTAGATAAAGATCACTCTCCAATATATTTGAAGAAATGTACATTCATTATGTGTGACATTTATTAAAAGTACAGGATTTAATTTGACATTTATTAAGCCAAATTTAACAGGCTTCCTCTGTTTCACGTCACATTTATAAAACACAGAATGAATCAGTGTTCTTGCCTGGGAATGCATTTTTTCGGCAGCAATGCTCGAGCCTTTGCTTACCTATGTTGTGGCTGAGTGATAGCTCTACTTATCTATCAAGATGAATGGAGCTTGTCATTCATGCCGGAAAGCCAGTTACAATGCACAGGGAGCCGAGAACAAAGACCTGTGTCTTCAAAATGCAGCTCACTGCATTTGTGAACGAGCCCTTGTTCAGGGAGCCTAGTTTTCCGGCTTGTTCTTTTTCCCAAGCAAAGGAAACAAGTGCAAGTCTGAATGTCCCACTTAAGACCACAACTAAGCCTAAGCAACATTCAAACTTATTTGAACATATTGGCTATATTGAATGGACAGCAACGGGTGTGGCAACAGAAAAAAAAATGAAAAGTAGGTGCGCATAGACATGAAATGGCAGATGAAATATGCAATTAAATACCTCCCGACGTTCTGAGATCAGAAAGAGGGACACCTTTCAGCACCATGTATTTATGTAATGGATAAACTACTACCATATCCACGTTAGGCAGACCATTAAGAATGTATATGCCAAAAATGATTGGTTACACCCACAAATTGTTTCTTCTCACCATTACTTTCCCTTCATACTGGCTTTTTGAAATATTAAGCCAGATAACTAAGAGATAAGGTAAAGGTTATAGTGCAGAATAAAGAAAAAAAAAATAGGCACGTGTATACTTAACTTAACACTTTTGGTAGTTAAATAGAACCTTTCCACAGATATCTGTACATCACACCAAAAGGAGGAACAACAGAGGTGGAAAGATGAACAGAGGGTTTGAGAGATAGCTGGGAGGTATGAAATCACCAGTCCAATATTTTTTAAATTACCTAAGAACTCCAACCCATAAGTTTTATTCTTCCATTGAAGAACGGTCAACCAAGGTTGGTTGCAGGGATCATGGCATGTTTATAGACATAACATTGTTTCCCAGTTCAACCATAATCAGTGTGAGAATGTATCTCTCATTTGGGCACCTTTAGATAAGAGTGTGCTATAAAGACAAAGGTTTATTTATTTTTTATGATTTGTTGGGATATTTCTAATTACATCCTTGAAATTTAGTGATATGCAATGTCCAGTCAAGTCAGGTTGGTTCTGTATGCATGTTGTTTCTTTGCTTAAAAAGAAGAGCCGTGTACCAGAGTTGATTTACTTTATTACTGAATCAGGCAGAAAATGACAAACATTTAAAATTCCCTAAGCATCATTTCCAAAAAGGAGAGGACCAGCCCTTCTAGATTGCGGGGAGCATCATAAAACAATCTTTAAATTATATTAAAGGATTTTATTCATCCCCTGCAAAAATAAAGTCATCTACAGTTTCAGCTCTCAATAGTAAAGTTTAGTGCAAGAAGAAACAAAGCTTTAAACCACATGTTGTAGCTTGATAAAATGTATGTCCTCAACGACCACCCACCTTTCATTTTCTAAAGGTGCCTTTGAAGTACAGTGACATCATTGCGGCAAATGTGATGGCATCATCACACCAAATCTGTCCCTGAACTGAAAGGTACACCGGTGACTACATACAAATACAAATCCATAGTATACAATCATTATTTCCAAGTTTCACAATAGGACTTCTAATATTTAGAAAAGGCCTGCCACTAGCTGTATTCTTTTACTATTTTGACAATGTTTTATTTGATATCTGGAACATTAATGTGTACACGCATCCACCTTTCTGATGATTTACCTATGCTTGCTATCAGCAAGTAAGTGCAGTGCAAATTCTCACTGGAATTAGTCAATCCATTAACATCGTTCCATGCACACTTTACTGAGCCCTTTGTTCTGAGTCAGAGCACAGATTACGAGATATAGATTTTAAAATTAAATGTTCTAAAAAACAGGACAGAGGGAAGGAAATAATTAAATCCAGGTTTTATATAAGCCATATGCAGTGCAAATGAAAAGGAATGTTCTTCAAGAAGAGTGTCCATCAGCATGTTACTGTGCTGACCTGCTGCTTGCCTACAAAGTCAAAAATAAAGTCCATCTCATTGTGTCCAAGGTAGAGCTCTGGCAGCTCTTCAATTCTGTCCAGACCCAATTCTAGAGCCAATGATGTTAATGTATCTTCATCAATGAGGTCTGCATCTGTCACATTTAAGATGGGCATGTGCTGGTGATGACTAGGTGCCATTCTGTAGGTGAGCTGACCTTGTAAAAGTCCAGGATTCCCCATGGGTGGATATCCTTGGTATTGATTGTTGAGTTTCTGAAGTTGCATAGTGGCCATTAGTTGCTGTGTTCCCATATAAGACTGAGGTTGCCCAGGGTACATCGCTGATGACGTATGCTGGTGCATATTCATTCTTGTCCTCATATTTCCATCAGGATTGGTACCTCCATACTGCATTAATGGTGCTGCAAGTGTGTTTCGAATAGCATGAGGGGGAACTTGAGTCTGCATACTGTTCATGTTCATCCTATAGTTGGGATGTCCATTGTGTATGGCTGCCATCATCATCGGGTCTGCCATCCCTATTAATATGAGAAAATATCACAGTTTTTTAAACTGACAGTCATATATTCTTATACATAGTTAAAGTAGAATCCAAAACCTTTGTTTTAGGGAATAGGGAACAGTTAAATCCCCCATCAGTTTCTTTGCCCTCTCTTCTCACTTTCTATGGGCTCTACCGAAACGGAAGTGAAGGGAAATCTCCACCAAGTAGGGAAAATCCTCTCCTGGACAGTTACCACCCAAGCATATGTCCCCATTAAAAGATTTCACCTCTATTCTCATTCTGGTGAGAACTCAAACTTTTGGATTTTCCATCACTTTTAGACCCAGGGACAATGGCATCAGGCAAATAGAGAGAGAGAGAGAGAGAGAGAGAGAGAGAGAGAGAGAGAG